TGGGAGGATGGGTTAGCCTGGTGGTGGGTATTGAGGAGGGCACGTTCTGCATGGAGCACTGGGTGTTACGCACAAACAATGAATCATGGAACACTACCTCTAAAACTAATGATGTAATGTATGGGGATTAACATAAGAATAAAAAAAATGTAAAAAAAAAAAAAGAAAAGTCATGGCTTTTGATCATATGCATTAAGCCTTTGACCAAGGAATTTTTATTTGCTGGGGTAGGCAGAATGTTGGCCCCTTACAAAAAGGTCTACTTCTGTACTAGGAATCTCTGAATGTTATAGTCCCTGAGGGGGGAATTAAGGCTGAAGACAGAACTGAGCTCGCTAATCAGCTGACTTTAAGATAAAGGGATTATCCTGGATTATCCAGATGGGTCCCAGGTAATCACAAGGGTCTTTAAAAGTGGGAGAGCGAGGCAGAAGAGGGGGTCAGAGTTGGAGAAGCTACACCAATAGCTTTGATGATAGAGGCCGGGGCCACGAGCCGCGGACACAGGTGGCCCCCAGAAGCTGGAGGAGGAAAGAAATGGATTCTCCCCTCCAGGCTCCAGAAAGAAACTCAGCCCTGCCGACACCTGGGCTTCAGCCCGGTGAGACCCTTCTGCACCTCTGACCTCAAGAACGGTGAGCTAATGACTTTGTATTGCTTTAATCTACCACTTTTGTGGTGATCTCTTACAGCAGCAATAGGAAACTAACGTTTGAGTTTGTTTTTATTTTGTTTGTTTCCTCGATGCCAAAAGCTTGCCTTTGACTATAGAGTTTGTTTTTATTTTGTTTGTTTCCTCGATGCCAAAAGCTTGCCTTTGACTATAAACAGCAAAGCCTGGAGGATTCAGGGCACATTTATCCCATAAACTCACAGATTGGGAAGAGTGTGTGTGTGAAGAACAGTTGTCTTCTGGGGGTGCCTTGGGGGGTCTCAGTCGGTTAAGCATCAGGCTTTGGCTCAGGTCACGGTCCCAGGGTCCTGGGATCGAGTCCCGCATTGGGCTCCCTGCTCAGTGGGGAGTCTGCTTCTCCCTCTCTCTCTGCAGCTCCCCGTGCTCATGCTCTCTCTATCTCTCTCAAATAAATAAATAAAATCTTAAAAATCTGGAAGAAGATGAAAGTCTGCCCAAGTAGGGGGAGCATGGGGTTCAAAGGCCACATGTTGGGGCATGAGAAGGAACCCCCACTCTGCTCCCTCCTGGTTGACAGCAAGACACAGGGAGAGTGTTCAACGGGGACAAGAAAGAACACACTTGCCGTCTGAGATGGCTTCCCGAGTGGAAACGTCCTCCTATGCAGGGAGTGTGGATGAAGGTTCCCTGTGCCTTGAACAGGTACCCAGAATTGCCTGACCGTGCCAGCTTACCCAGGGGCTCCAGACAGGTGCATGCAGAGGGAGGAGAGGACCCTGGGTGGATGTGAGGATCAGATGTCTGGGCGCCCAGCTGGGTGGGGGTGCTGCCTCCAGGACAAAGAGAGGCTGGCAAGCTCCATGCGCACTGAGCGCTCGGTGAAGTGCCCACGGACAGCTTGCATCTTCCCCAGCACCACGGTGGGGGAAACCCTGAATGGACTGAGTAGGTAGGTGCCCAGAGGGGACTGAGCAAAATCAGGAGTAAATCAGGAATGACTAAATTCACTTTGCATTAGCAGAATTAGTGTTCCATCATCTGCAAAAGTGAGGGTTTGCAAGTGAGTTCAGTTACAGAAAAGTAAGGAAGGTTTCATGTTCATACGTAGTTTTTTTTTTTTTTTTTTCTGTAGGTACCCTAACGGGTACATGCCGAGATGGAGACAGAAGTTATCTCTG